GCTCTCGGGTTGGCACTGGAGCGGGCAGGAAAGATGGAGGAAAAAAAAGAAAATCATTCCCTCGAACCTATCGAAGTGTGATCGTTTATGGCAGCGCCGGTAAACTTAGGGCGGATCCGAGAGCTCGTCTGCTCGGCGAACCGTGGATTAAGATAAACCCTTCATCCTTTTCTCGGGGAACCGTTTCTGCCAGGATTCGCCGAAAAGACTATCCGAGTAGATTTTACTTTCCCGATGAACGATGATCCCGACCCTTAATTGTCCAAAATCAACGCTCGACATTAATTATTCTACCATGAATGAATAATTTCACGCCGTTAATTGATTCGACATCCGAAAGAAAGTGCTGAAAATTGTCGATTTTTATATTCAATGAACGCGTCCGGGCCGCCATCTTGGATTCAAAGAGTTTCCTGAAAGAGTGCACAACGCGCTCCGATTCTCTTGCTCCGCAATTTCCGATTCCGGATGCCTGCCGGGGATTTCTTCATGCGAGACGCGGAAATCATTTTCCTCGGCGAGATGCGATATCAGTGCGTCATGGAAAAAGGAAATCATCGCCGAGAAATCTCTCATACCCTGCCCGGTCATTCATCAAGAGTGCAACTGGCCGACGATCGAGCTACATGCCCAGCCGGGCATGTACGCGTTATGTACCTCGGATCTATGCATAAATCAGAGGAATTACGCATACGAGCTCGCATAAATGCAAAAGTTAGGACGCAATTACTGCAGAAAAGAAGAAGAAAAAAAAAATAGAAAAAAGAAAGACGGGTAAAATGATCGCCCCTTAACATCTTATCAATGTCGAAAAGGGGATCAAACGTCTGATAGTTCGGCCAATAGTGGCCGTCAAAAGCCAGCAATAAATTCGGTCCCGGCGTGGGTGCGGAATATATATCAAGCGCAGTTATTGCGAATGGCGGGGGTGAGGGGGTGGGCTCATAATTTCCAAAGTCGTTGTGTTTCCCTTGGGCGCCCCCTTTGTGGGGTGTCGGGGATGTTCAACGAGGACGGGGATGTTTGACGGCGGAAACATCGGCCCGATATCCCGTTTAACCCGTTGCTCGGAGGATCCCACCCACCGCCACCCACCGCCTCCCGACGCCACCCACCGGCCTCCCGCCACCCACTCGGGCTGAAAGCCGAAGAACCTCGACGCCTCCACCCATCCCCCCACCTAACTCGGGCATTACCGATGGGATTGTCAGCGCAGCACTTACTTTTCTATCGGGAAATGATGTGTTTGTCAGCCGCCGATAAGGACGCGCCCCTAACTCGCGGGATCGCGATTGGAACGGTTTTTGGCAACGGGAGCCTTCCAGGGTGGATAAATCCCTAGGAATGATAAAAATGAGTATTTCAGTTACTGAATTTACCGTATAAAATTCAGGTGCCATAAGGCGTATTCGGTTTTCATCCAGGGTGTCTTAAGCCATCTTGTGGAAGTCTGCACGTTCGCGATTTGTGTCTTATTTCCGGGACTTTTCGTGACCCGGATAATTTTTCAGGGTTAATATCGAAATTATTGATTAATAATGATTACCGAGGGTTGGATCGAATGGTTTCGTGGGGAAATTCCTAATTTCTGGTGGGGACTGATTTTCAGGGCTCGCCCTGCAGATCCAAGATGGCGACCGGGCGTCCTCCGGAGTTTCCCCTCTCGGCGTCGATAAATCAATCCGCACCTAATGACAATGAGCCGAGAAAACCGTTCGCCATGACAGGCTGTGTCATTACTGTGTTACTTATAAAGCTTCCTTCGCGGGCGCGCGGCCGGCATACGAATGAAGGTGGCCGATTGCGAAACCGCATGAAAAAGCGACCTCAGCGGAACGCGGAGCGGTTGAGCACCGGCAGCAAACGGCAAGGATATATACGCAGGTTCGAGAGCGTGCACCGCTGCTTAATCGGCCATTAACATGCACGCTGAATGTCGATCGAACCCGGGGAAATATTTCTTTCGCAAGCGGGCGCCATCTTGCGCCGCCATATTTCCCGGCGCATCGCCCGGTCGTCCCGACCACTTCTTTCGCGGTTTTTCCGCTCCGAATCCCCGTCGAATCACTAAGATCTCTCTGAAAACTTGTCCATCCCTAGACAAGGAAGTTTAACTTACATCTATCCGATATTTAAACCGATTCGTTGATCTTTCTTTTAGAAAATCCCGCGGTCGAAGCCTCGCCGCGGGCATCGAAGTCTCCACCGCGTCCAAGATGGCGGCGTAACGGGCCCAGTCCGAGTGATGAATATTCGAGAAAACCCACTCGCGGCCAACTTCGGCGACGTTAATTAATCCCCTGGAATACAGTCGTACGTCCTGAATGGTTTTCTGCGGTTATCGAGTCCACCGGGTGGAAAAAGCGCACCGTTATCGGCGCGTCTTATCCGACGCGGCGCGGAATCGAATAAACAAATCAATATCCATTAGTCGGCCGTAAATTCCGCCGGCGAGTGCCGATAAAACCGCCACGCGAGCCCGACGGCCGATTTTTGCTACCGCTCTTGTTTGCCCATCGGCGACCGCGCGACGTTCCTCGATAAGTATCGATAACTCTTGGAGAGGAGGAGGACGTCTCCGCGCAAGAAAGAGTGTCACGAATGCCTCGGATGTGTATGTAAAACCTGCACAACTGTGGCAGGGTTATCCAGGTTCAATTCTAATCGAAAGATCCCAACCTCATTTTCCTATATTATATTCTTTGTCCATTTTTAAGACCAGACATTCGTCCGCCATTTTGGGTCACGCTAAAGGTACGTCGATAACCAAAACGCTGATATTCCAGTATATTCGACTACAGGGAGATCATTTACCTATCTGCCACTATTTTAATGAAAAATTCTAGTATTTACCTTGAAAATTTTTTTTTTCTCGGTATTAACGCAACGTCCGCCATTTTGGGTCGCGCCAAAAGTACGTCGATAACCAAAACGCCGATATTCCAGTATATTCTACTACAGGAGATCATTTACCCATCTACCACTATTTTAATGAAAAATTCTAGTATTTACCTTGAAATTTTTTTTTCTCGGTATTAACGCAACGTCCGCCATTTTGGGTCGCGCCAAAAGTACGTCGATAACCAAAACGCCGATATTCCAGTATATTCGACTATAGGAGATCATTTACCTATCTGCCACTATTTTAATGAAAAATTCTATTATTTTCCTTGACATTTTTTTTTTCTCGGTATTAACGCAATTTTTTCCGCCATTTCATGTCGCGTCCTGGGCAAGATACGCCGATAACCCAAACGCCGGCTTTGTTCCGGCACATCCGACTGCACAAAGCATGATCATTTAATGATCCGGCTGCCACAGAGGATGCCTCGTAATTGTTTTTCTTCTTCCGTACCACTCATTGTCGGGGGCAAACTAGATCCGTTACGCCATGATGCCGCACTTTCCTACTCCCGCGGGCTGCCTTGCGAAAAGTGCCATAATTGCCCGGCCGGTTGCATAAACCTGCAACAAAGGTGATTTAAGGGGTTTCGGAGACAAGTCCGTACCTTCGAGGCACGAGAGGGTGTGACTATTTAAACTCCCCGGTAATAGTTAAATTCCCTAGTCCCCGAAATAATACATAAAACGAATAATAATCTAATTTTTCATGGCATTTCCGGTAACGTGCAAAACCGACGTCCATCAACAATGGTCAGAAGTGGCCCTAGTCGCATATCTCGTCCTCGTAATGAATCGTTGATACACATTGCGCGGTCTCGTGCAACTCGGCGTGCAATTAGCGAAATGATGATCGCAGAAAAGAAGAAGAAGAAAAAAAAAAGAAAAATCAGATCGCGTTCCGGCGTTTCGTTGAAACCGGGAGCGAGCACTCGCTATCTGGTAATTAGTTCATTAAGAGCGCATATTCTGCGTATCGTTCAGTTGCCTTCCCTCGTATTGGCCGAAGAAATACCGACGAACCGGGGAAAATGATTTGGAAATTGGTTGAAAAAAATTCCAGAATTTATTATTGTACTTCATTGTGAATTTTTGCGCAAATCTCTGGAGTGCATTACTGGTGCATCGGTAATGCACCGAAGTTGCGCCACCTCGCTCGCGAGGCCGATCACAAAATAGCGAATAGTTGGGAACGAGTATCGAACGATAAATCAGGAGTATGGCATTCCTAAGATAGCGCTCTCCTGAAAGTCATTACGGTGGCAAAGTAATTCCCAACTACGTTAAAAGCAATAAATACATAATGCATCCGGCGAGTTTCCCACACGCGCTCCCCGAGCCAGTTCCATGAAATCATGCATCACGGTGCATCACGGTGCATCGCCGCGAGGATGTTATGGCGGAGTCCTCTGCGGATTTATCTGCTTGCTTCTAGTGGCCGTTCTGGCCTCGTCTTTTCCCGGATGGCCCTCTCTCTTTCTCTATGCTTCGAAAGAAACTGGATAAACTCTTTTTTACACCGGCCTGATGTGCGCGGCCGAGCCGGACTCTGCTTAGGCCGAGCGTCGTCGGCCTCGGTCGGTCTTTTATTTAAAAGATGACAGAAAGTGGGAGATATTTTCAATTTTATCCCGAGGGGAACTTAGCTTCTGGTGTTGTAAAGTAATACCAGTAATTTATTCCGAGGAAGATATAATAATTTAGAAGAAAATTTATTTTTCATTAACTTATTCATTTTTAGGCCGAGTGTCGTCGGCCTTTTACTTGAAAAATCAACGAAAGTGCGAGCTTGCGAGATGTTAAAGGATTTTTTCAGAGGGGAACAACCTCTTGCATAGAAAGGAAAACAAATATAAATGTATGACAATACATCAAGAAAGTACATATTTTATTAAATTACACAGAATGCAGATCGTGGTTTTATTGGGAGTTCAACGATTCTCTTTTTGAGAAATTGAATCCGTCGCTAGGTTCAATTGTTTCGTCGTGAGATGATCTCCGAGATTGACGCCCAGTCACGTCGATAGTTTATTGTAAAAGGTTTGCCATTATTCTCGCATATTCACTTTATCACTGAATTTCACTCACCTCCCAGTGAAATGTACGAGGTCGAGCTCATTCTGCACAAAACTGGATTCGGTAGCAGAGGTGAAGACGTAGGTATTCCTTCTAAAATTCTCCCAAGTATAGGTTATGATTTTCAAAGTCAACAATCCCTCCAGGTGAAAATTAAAACCGAAATTCTCGACGAGATCGAGAATTTTTCGATGGACGACGACATCCCCGACATCGGCGCAGAAAACGAAGCCCCGGAATTTATCGACTTTGAGGTGTACCTTAACAAGCTATTCCGCAAAACTAGGCCATTAATTAATGAGATCCAAGTACTGCCGACAAGCGATAACAGAAAATCCGAAAAACCCGAATTAAATAATAATCCGAAGGGCTTTCAATGTGTCCTCTGCAAAAGGGATTTTTCAAGGTACCAATGGGTTAATTTAGCAAAATCCAAAATGGCGGAGAAATCTCATCACCCTTCTCCATCTTCCCAGGCTCCATTTTATAATTCCACATTTTTCTCACATCCAAGCATCTCGTCAAATCCGGAAGACGAGACCCGCGCGAAAGTGCATTAATCTCGGAAATTGATAACCCTTTCACCCAGGATTTCCTTTTTTTGTCCAGGTACTCCACGTTGAAGGATCACCTGCTGATGCACTCGGGCGTCGAGCCCTACATGTGCAGGCACTGCAGTTCTCGTTTCCGGGATAAAGAGATCCTGAAGAGCCACATAGTGGCGATGCATTCGTCAGAGAGTCCATTCGAGTGTTCGATTTGCAAGAAACGCCTGGTGCATCGGCAGTCCCTCAGAGAACACGTGTTGATGCACTCGAATGCAAGGCCCTTCGAGTGTTCGGTCTGTAAAAAGCGATTTTTAAGACCCAGCAGTTTGAGAGCCCACGCCATAGTGCACACTGCGGATGCACCATTTCAGTGCGAGATTTGCCATTCGCGATTTAAAAGAGCCTCCGTCTTGAAAACCCATAAATTAACCCACTCGAATGTGAGGAGATTCGAGTGCGAGATCTGCAAAAATCGGTTCCACCTGAAGGGCGCCCTGAAACACCACATTCTGTCGCACTTTGGTAGGATGCAGTTTCGCAAATTTCCTCGGTTGGATTTTTCTTCACCTCTCTCGCCAAGGGCTTTGGTAATATTTTTAATTATTGCATTCCAGGTGTCAGGCCTTATAAATGTTCCGAGTGCAACAAGAGTTACCGCAGGTCGTGGGGTCTTAAAGTGCACATGTTCGGGCACACCGGGGTCACCAGGTTCGAGTGCGACATATGTAAATCGCGTTTTAGCGTCAAGTCGAAATTGGCGATGCACATCTATGCACATTTGGGGGAAAAACCGTACAAGTGCAAGATCTGTGGTCGGCAGTACAGCGAGAGGTACTTGCTGAAGAGTCACAGGTGCATCGCGCATCTCACCTGCACCGAAGGTCAGGTGCAACACTGCAGGACTCTGCAAAAGGAGTGATCCCGGGGAACGAATGCGCGTATATGCACCTGAGTAAGCAGGTGCATGTGCAGCGATGCACATAAACAGATCCGTTCTCCACCTCGCGGATGCAGATCCATCCGGAGGGTCGTAACGATCCCTCTCGCAGCATCCGCTGGACCGCCGTAAATGCACTTCTTCCGCCAAGGATGCACCGGCGCAGCAGGTCGACTTGCAGCGAAAGCGTCGATGCATCGAGCCGTGACCTCTTCCGCAAATGCAGGGCGGCTGGATTTAAGGTCCCTGTCTGGGGAACACCAGGTCGAGCGACTCCTCCACCTGGACGTGAAGGCGATAAAAAAGTGGCATCCAAGGGGTCAGTCTTATATACAATTTTTCTCCGACCCGACTGCATCGAATCACCTGCAATTTTGCCAATTGAATACGAAAACTGCATGCAGGGTCCCGATACCGATGAAATTTCAATTTAAAAAAAATCTCTTCGATCCAACCATTTTTATAAAAACATGAAATCTCGTGGGTGCATGGACCTTCCTTGCAGTTTCCATGTCCACTTGGTGAAGTTGCAACCGACTCGGTGCACCCAGATCGGAGAAAAGTTACCGACAAACGATCGACCCCTTGGACTGCACTTTCGTATCGTCTTAAGATCCCCGTCCAGGGTACGCCGAGGTTAACATCTCCTTGGGACGCGGATGCAAATCCACCTGGCAGATCGTAACGACGCATCGGGTGTTGTTCACCCGCGCGTTTACAAGGTTGCACGTGAGAATGAGGTTTTTAAGGTGCAAGGGCCCAGCAGGGGCTCGTATACCGTAATCTGAGAGGGCCTGGTGTATCAGATCGCATCTCTGATCCCGACTCCTCCTGGCCGAGTCCTTTGACAATGCCGACGCGCTTCCCCCTCCCCCGGAAGGGGAGGTGCAGGATCCTGATGCACTTTTCCCCTGCTTTCTCCGGGTCCACCTGATGCAAACCACTGCAAGGAGGTATAAAATGACCATACCTCTAATTCATGAATTTTTGCAACGATTGACATTCCCAATATTATTAATTACCCTTAAGTACCCCACCACAAAGTGTGTCATCTCGGGCGTGATCATTTCCACTTTAAATTCCATTAAGAGTAAAATTCTCTCATTTTGTGAATATTGAACCGGACAAAAAAAAAATCGTTTTTCCATAGTATGCAAAGTTACACGTGGCGTGTTGCACTTGAAAATTCGAGAGAGATAAAAAGAAGAGGAAAAATTACCGGGAGAGGAATTTAATTGCAGGATTTAATGGCAGGTCTAGATGGACTCGGAATCTGGGTTTCTTTATCGTTCTCGATTTCCCTGCGAGATTAGCAGTCCTCGGGCGAGTATCAGCGCTCCCTTGGCGTAATCACCGTAATTACCTCGGCGGCTCCCGGTCTTCCTAAAAAGTAATTAGGCTAATTGCTCGCAACAATGCGCTTTTCGACGGGAACAATTAGCATGATCGTTTCGCGGGCTATAAATTGCCATATTCTATACCGATCGAGTGTTCGCCGCGTCGCGGTGATTCTTACAAAAGCCGAGTTGCACGGTTAAATTGCTCGTGGCCATTCGCAGCTGCTAATCTCTCTCTCTCACCTAATTACTTGCCGACTCTTGAAATCTATTATCTCACAATGTGTTACGCCGGGCCCGGGTTTATGCACGGTCACGCCAACTCGTTACCCAGACAACGATCTTTGCGGTTTAATTACTTTTCCACCATTTCTCCCGGGATGTATGCTAATGCGAACCCCGTTCCAAGCCCATGTCAATCGACCAAGTCAATTGACAAAGTCGCAGAGTAACGACAGCCCGTCAAGGAAGTGGGCAAAAAATCCAAGGACTTACTTCGCCGCTTAATTTCCTCCTTTCCCCCCTCCTTTTAATTAACCTAATTAATGGAATTATGGAAATATCCGGGATTTCTCCCACGCGTTTCCCATTTCTTATCCCGCCTATTCCTCCCCCCCGGACTAAAGAAAATTAGGAAACTCCTGGATTTGTATTTAGAAGAATTATAATAGCGCACTCAGGAGAAGATCTCATTGAAACGAAGAAATATTCCTCTGATTCAAGAAATAATTATTTCACTCGGATAAATTGGAATTAATTGCATGCAATGTCTCTTTGGAATTATGACGATGGATTAAGGGGGTTAAATCGAAATTAGAAATTGGTGCGAATGAAAAGTATGAGAGAGTAATTGTAATTAATAGGGAAAAAATATAGTTGTAGGTGGAGGGATAAATAAATAAGTTTGACGAGTCAGAAATCCGAGCGCGTAACCACCGAGAGGGGCCAAAGGAATTAAATCACCGGGATGTCGATTAGTATTGACAACGGCGATTAAAGAGCACGAATATCCAGCCGATAATGGCCGAGCTCGGTGGGCACTGTAATTTCATTGATAATATTTAAATAGCGGCTTTTAATAGCTGTCTTCCTTCGGCTGGCATTAGCGGCCCCTCGGGGGCTCCTTCGCCCTCTACGCCCCTGACATGCGCAGAGGCGTACTATTTATTGGTCCTTGCCCGTCATTATTTCATCGAACTCTTTCATCGCGTCCTTAATCGAACCTCCACCAATGCCCGATCATCGAGCGAGACGCCGAAATCGGCCCTCTTAGCCTCATCGATTACTTCGGCTCTTGCAATTACAGCTAAACTCGGTACCGATCGACCTCCCCCTGACTCCCCCCTGAAAAAAATTAAAATTAGGGGAATTCCACTTTAACTAGAATTTAGAAAAATTTTTAGAGAACCCGCAAGAATTTCCTCGAATTTTTCAGACTGTTTGGCGATAGCCATGGAAGAGGGGGTGAGAAGATGATAACCTAGGTTAGGATGGATTAGGACGGGTTTTTTAATTTTTGGAAGTTATGGACAGTCCCGGGTGGGATACGTAGGACATGGTACACAGAAACTGTGTAACCAGAAATTTGAAAAATAATTGCCAAGGCATTTTAAGGATTTTTTTTTTAGAATTTTCCAGTCTAGACTTCGGTGGTGACCAAAGTGGGTACGAGTCGGATTAGGTTTGGTTTCTTGTTTTTGAGGTTAGGGGGGGATCTTGGTAGACCTCGGAGAGGATCTTTCGATATCGGAGGACGCGTTATCCTGCTGGGAAGAGCAGGAGTCCATCCACCTGTCGCGGGGTCTCATTTTTGCAGAGTCAACTAGATGCGCCATTAAGTCAACGAAATTCAGGAAAAATCGGGGCCGGTCGCGCCGAATTAGAAATTTATATTTCCTCCCCGTCATCTTTTTCAGCCGGCGAGCGGGTATAACGGCATAATGCGGCGTTCGATGAGTATTCCCGTCTATCCGAGTCGACGCACTTGTACGCACGTCTCGCGCGGTGATGTACAACCCCTCCGGCCAGTTCCCGTCCGCGGTTAATCGCGACGGGCATTACCTCTTTTTCTCAAAAACGAAGCACCGCGGGAGGCATTAAAATAAATATCAACGAGGTCGAGAGCTGGGAAGGAGAAATGACAAAGAAAACGAAAAAAAAAAAAACCAGAATTCCCCCGATGGATTCGAACCCGCGACCGAGGAGGCTGAACGTCCGACAGCGGTTTTCGAAGTAGCTTGGCGAAGTTATGCGAAATGCGGAGGTTTTCTCCGAAATTTCCTCCTATTTCTTAATATTTCTTGATATTCCTTCTCTCGCACGAAGCGAGGGGGTGTTCACTCAGGAAATCATGGATTTTAACGCTGGAAGTCATGGGAACACAATTTTTATCTCGTTACCGAATCGCATTATCATGCGAGATTTCAGGCAATAGGTTGTAAAGAAGGAAATCGTTTTCACTGATTTCTGAGTGAATAGCCCCTCGAGACGAAGTCATCGGGCCTCCGTAATGGCGGTTTTATGGTCGACAAGGCGGCGGAAACAAAAGCCGTGGCTCGATGATTGAAAAAATCGGCAGCGTCGCTGACGGCTCGGCGGCGCTTTTGCCGGGATGTAGATTTGTTTGCATTTAAAAATCAAATCGAGCACTGCCGCTCGCGAAGCGGTCGGTATGCACGGGTTCGCAGGCCTTCTCTCTCCCGACTCGACTCCGGTCCAGGGACAATGCTCGCCAGTTTTTGCGTCGTTTGCTTCCTACGAACGGGCCGACGCCGCGATGGCCGGGGGCCGCAGCCTTCGCCGCCGTCGAGACGGCCGTACCGAGCCGCAACTGAGAAACGACGCTGCCGAAAATCCGACGACGGCTCGCCCGGAATGCCAGGGAATGGTTACGTAGGATCCGCGGCTCCGAAATGCCGGGAATAATCAGCAGTCGGCCGTTCCTCCGCGTCCGGCGCCGCCATTTTGGTTCCCGCGTCGCAGGTCGCCCCGGCCACATCGCTCCTAAATTTCGATTTCAAACCGTGTTTCGGGCCCTTCTAGCCCCTACCATCTCTAAATTTCCACAATCTAGTCAGATATACCCAGAAACATAACGAAATAACCCCGCGAGATGAGTAACTTCGGTAAATTCAGCCCCCACAGCAGCGACGCTCTTCTTCTTCGGCGGCCGCCATATTGGATTCTATCTCCAGTCCGCGTCGTTCGTTAAACTCAAAGTTATAGACGTTTCGGTCCCGTACTTCGAATTATGGGATACGTAAAGCATTATCCTGACTTTAGTTATTAATAACCAGGATTTAATCGAAGTTTAGGGCGTTCGTCGTCCCTCGAATCGGGTGTTTCGCGGGGCAAACCACCGATTCGTTTCGATGGAGTCGCCGCATCGCGACACCGGCTTTAAGTTCCCCGTAGGACATAATTGCCGGCGGTGATTCCCGCAGGACTTTGCCGGCGCTATGCCGTCGTATTGCCGACTCGTTTGTGTTCCTCCCCGACATAGCTGCATGCGCGCGTCAGCGCTCATAACTTATGAAACGAGAGGGCCGCCGAGGCATAATTGCCGGCGGATTAATGAGACGGCATAATTGCACGATAATCGGCGATCGTTTTATTGGCTCTTCCTCGGTCCATCCCCTTGTCGCA